CCAGTATGCAGATCTGACTGTAAGCTGCATCTAGAGAATGTTCCATGAGAATTAACTAACAGTGCTAACATTCCAGAAGCTGCCAGTGCCACATGCACCCCCTTTCTTTGAGCCCCCATCCCCACACTATAAAACCCCCAACTGTGCCACAACTGTTTTTCTGCATATGCAGTAGATTAAGAGCCAGGGCCGGCATTAGGGGGGAGCAAGCAAGTTCTCAAGACCCAGGGGTCTTGAGGGGAGGGATAGTTCAGTGGTTTGAGCATTGGCCTGCTAAACCCAGGGTTGTGAGCTCAATCCTTGAGGGGGCCACTTGGGGATCTGGGGCAAAATCAGTACTTGGTCCTGCTAGTGAAGGCAAGGGGCTGGACTCGATGACCTTTCAAGGTCCCTTCCAGTTCTAGGAGATGGGATATCTCCATTTATAAAATAAATAAATAAAAGCAAGGCAATTGCTCAGGGCCACACACGACAGGAGGCCACACAAAGCTAAATTGCTCAGGCTTCAGCCCCACGTGGTGGGGCTCAGGCTTCAGCTTTCTGCCCTGGGCCCCAAGCAAGTCTAACACTGGCCCTGCTCTCTGGTTTATTTTGGCAGAACCCCGGCAACCTGTGCTCATTCCCTCCCCCTACCCCTCAGGGCCCCTGGTTGAGAACACTGCTTTAAGCTCCAATTGTGCCTTTCAGATTCTGTAATCCCAGCAGCTCCATATGTGTTCATGTAAATAGTGTCCTGATATTAAAGCAGCTGCTAACACTATTTCTAATAAAATAAAGTGCAGCATCTAGCAAAAGCTGTGACAAATGATAGATTTAAGTGGAAGAACTGTCTAAACAAAGATGACTGGACCCTAATAAAATTCTCCTTCTCCCCCATCACTCATATGCTTTAAATACACATATGAAATCATGAAAGGGAAGATTAACTTAAAAGCTTGGTAACCAATTTTCAAAAAGTCAGGGAGGTCTTAGAGCCAGTTTGCTGTAGGGACTCTGGAAAAGGAGACAAACTGTTTACCCTTTCTAAAAAGTTACTAGTTAAACTTTTTCCTCCTCTCTTCCCAGAGTTCTATTGGCCACTCCCATGAACTAGTGTTACCCAACTTTTACATAAACACGCAGCTCTCATAAGCCTCAACTGCAGAGAGGTCTGGAATTTGGGCTGATCACTACTCATTTGCAAAAACAGAGACTGCAACCCACGGTGAAGAGCTTTTGGAAAATCTTTGAAAAGGTAGGCAACATTGGAATTGTTTTTAATAATCAGTTGGCTGCAAACATGTAGCCCATTAGAAGTCTCCTGGCAGATTTTCCTTGTGGGGTTTGATTTAGAGAAAAATTTCTCAATACTAATTCAAAAATTGAATAAAGTTTAGATTTGATTTCTTCAAGAAGGAAGATATTGCACATCTGCTCTGCACTCTAGATTGCTGATATTTTTGCAGTCATAGGTGGTAGTTTATGTATGTTTAAAAACTGCATATGAAGAGAGTATTCTAGGTTAGTCAGATTATTCATTGTAGAGAGATTTAGAAATAAGCTGAGTGTGTCGTGACCACACGGTTCAGCTGTTTTGCTTGGTAATATTAAAAGCTAATGATGTGCCTGTTCCTTTCGCCATAATGGGTTACTCTGCCTTCCACATAGAATTTTAAAAAATAAATAAATCATGGAACTTTTTCCCTTGCCTCTTTGTAGCCTTTTGTATTTTGCAGGTTGGGAATTGCAAACATGTTTCTGTTCCTTTACCTGGTCATCAACCTGGGCCTCTCTGCATCTGGTGTTGTGAGGGGAGAAGGTGAGGCTGATTCCAATGGAGACAGCCCACTTCAAGACATACAGAAAAAAGTGAATGACCTGTGGCAGAATTTACTCTACCCACAGTTCATCAATGAGACGACTAACCGGATCGGTTATGCCACTTGTGAAGTGAAGCCCAGCTCCAATCTAGATGCTGACAAGCCACAGGTGACAGGCCAAGTCTTGTTCAGACAGTCCTACCCAAATGGAAAACTAGAGGCTCTCTTTGACTTGAATGGGTTTCCATCAGGCAGCAATCAGTCTGGCAGAGCTATTCACATCCATAAGCTCGGAGACCTCAGCAACAGCTGTGACTCTACTGGGGGGCACTATAACCCTTTCAACGTGAACCACCCTCGCCATCCAGGGGATTTTGGCAACTTCTACTCTAAAGAAGGCAAAATTAGAAAATACAAGCCAAATCTGCTCGCCACTCTGTTTGGCCCCTACTCCATCATGGGGAGATCCATTGTGATCCATGAGCAGGAAGATGATATGGGCAAGGGTAACAATAAAGCCAGTTTGGAGAATGGAAATGCTGGCAGACGTCTAGCTTGCTGTGTCATTGGGACATGCAACAAGAACTTATGGGAGCAAAAGTTTCCTGACATTACAGAGAGGAGGAAGAAGAGGATCACAAATGAGCACAAAACAACCAGGCCTAACTAAAGACCAACATGCCATCTATTGCTTAGGCAGCACAGAATAGATATAGTCCATGTAATTGATCACTGCGACACATGGGAAAGGTTTCCTGTTTCCATTGAGTCTCTGTCTTGCGGCTCTCTAAGAAACGCATATTGCTCTATAGATGTTTTTCCCTGCCGTAAGCAGATTAATAAAAAAACAGCATCAACTCAACTTTGCAATGTAGTTTTTTTTTTAAACTTAAAACTCCCATTTATTCAGCTCAAAAGTTTAGTGCAACATGGTAAGACCAGCAAAATATTTAGTTTATGAAATCTAGAAAAAGCTTGTCCATTCTAATGGATCTCTTAAACGATCACAAGCTTAGGTACAAAGAAAAAGACAAATTAATGAAAAACTGCTTTTGGCAAGATGCTCTGCAGTGTTTTTCTACATATCTGAAAAGTATAAAGGTTTCTATAACTTCAACAGCTTTGTGTGGTAGCCTGCTAGAGCTAGATAATAGCCTTCTCCTCAGATTCAGGGAGAGTATAGACATTATTTCTATTTTTAACTTCTGATCCATTATACTATTCTACTTATATTTGGAGGTTTTATTCTCCAACATGTATAAGCTTAACTGGTTTGAGTTATCCATACGCCGTAACCGAGTCACATTGTTTACATTTGAAAGTAGATTTACAAGAACTGTTCTGGCTTTTTTTTTTAAAATAGTAAGTAGCCTGGAAATTTTGGGGAGCTTACTACTAGATAACACATCAGGTAAAATTGTGTAATGCTGTTCACACAATATAGATACTGTAGATATTTTTTAAATTAATGTATTTTGAAGGCAAGTGTACATAGTGTGATCTTCCATACCCACACAAATATAGCAAATTAGTCTGTTCAGATTGCAAGGAATAAGTGACAGTAGAAAAGACTTTCAATTTAGATTGTTTTATACAAACTGAAGAAAGTTATTGAATAAAATCTTTACATCCCTTGTTTTATAAAAAGTAATGTATGACCACAATTTAATATATGACCCACTGATAAAACACTAAGGTATAATTAACGTCCCTCCCATATTAATAAGGGAGAAGATAAAAGACAACAAATCTGGAAATTTGTCTTTATTCCAGGAGCCAAAATATATATATATTTATATATAGTTGTCATGTTGCATGGTGTCTGTAGATTGCAACAAAGGAAAGGCTTGCAAATAAATAAAAGCTATATCTTTCTTTAAATAAAACTATAAAACAGCAACTGGTAAAAAAAATCCCAATCTTTTAAAAATTAATCTCAGTTAAGGTTCTAAAATACATTCCTGAGCTCATGTGGATTAAAGAAATTCTAATTTCTTTATTATACAAGTTACCCTATGCATAAAAATAGTCTCACTTAGAAAGGAAGCAGTGCTTTAAAAGATGACTCTTAATCTGTCATTTTCACAAACTTACGTTTTAAAGATTCGGTGAACACTTTCTGAAATAGGTTTAATTTTAAGGGTCTTGTCTTCTTTTTTCCATTTCTCCCAGTTAAGACATGTATTTGCTGCTGGACTCCAGTACAAGTTCATTGTCTTTCAAAATGGTATAGAATAAGGGAAGTCATCTGGTCTGATTATGAAACAGCATTCTTAAAAATCAGTTTTTGAAATGTTGCATTTGAAGCTGCCACTCTGTCTCCTGCCCTCCCACATTAGTGATAAAGTTTTGGGTATGCCTGTCAGAGCATGGTTTAAAGTCCTACAGAGAGCGCATGTAGGTCTCAACAGAGAAGGCCTGATTCTTCTCCCAGCTGGTGTAAATCAGAAGTAATTTCAGTAAAGACAACAGTTATACTAGTGTAACAGCAGTACCAGTAAAAGGAAAATAACCCCCCCTAACATTCAGAGTCAATTGTAATTTTATTGCAGCAAACAAATCTTACTTTAAGAGTGGTTTGGTGCAGTATTGAAGCTTCATGTCTCAGCCTGTAAAGGCTCAAGTCCCAAGGATGAAGGCTAAGAGCACAGCTGGGAGGATGCAGAGTCCCCTGTGTGGAAAAGGGCACAAACTGCATTGCACTGAACTCCCTGTAGACAGGGCAATGATGTGGTACTGAAGTGAGGTCTGCAGGGAGCCTCCTAGCCAGAGTCTGTGCCAGCAAGTGGTTGCAAGGATACAGAAGAGGAATTTAGGTGGGGAGGAATGGGGAGAGATTAATCCATAGAAGGATCTAATTTACAGGAGGTTTTTCAAAGAGCAGCCTGCCAGCCATATCAGGACAGAAACAAGACAGTTTTATGTGCTAAAGATACTTGTCAGCCTGAGTCTGCTCTGACTTTACACCATTACCATAATGATTTCAGTGGGGTACTCCTAATTTAATGACTGATCCAAAGCCTATAATAGTAGACAAGAAAAAGCATCCCATTGACTTCAATGAGCTTTGCCTCAGGCCTCTACGCCAATGTAGGGGAGAGGAGAATCAAGCACACACATACCTTCAACATTTCAGAGTTAAGCTGTATATACAAACACTGACATTTAGGGATTTAAAAAAAAAAAATCAAAGCCAGCCTCAATTCTGGCTGCATTTTTATTCAGAACTTCACTAGCATTTAGCTTTGGAACGCCTCAGGCTGTGATGAAAGATGGAAAGGAACACACACCTTGGAATAAACATTACATGGAGGGTAATATTTTAAATATTACAAAACCCTGTAAAAATCTCTTCAATTATTTCAGTGCATGTCTATTTTTCTTCATGCTTGCCAGTGCTGTCATAAATAACTGAGTCAATAATGTAATCCATTATTTTTCCATTAATAGCAACAGTCCCTCTTGGTCTTTGGGTTTTGAGGAACATAAATATATCTGGGGCGAGGGAAGAAAGCTTAAACTTTTCAGTGTAGCATGCCCCCAAGGCATCTGAATTTGGAACAAACTGGTTCAAAGGGGGATGTTATTGATACCAGTGTGATGCAATGCCACAGTCCCTTTAAGTAGAAAGGAAGCATTTTAGAGGAGTGATACAAGTATTCCTTTATTGCCTGCACACAGCAACGAAAGAGCAGACAGCAGAGAAAGGGTTACATGCATGCCCCTCTTAGGGGAATGCACAAAAACAAGAGGCAGGTCACATTTTTCAGCCTCCCATCATTCATTATATTCAGATGTATCCATTACATATATTCTTTCTTCTGCCAAGCACAAACTGTTAATGGAATCAAAACACCTTTGATTATGGCAGCACCTGCTAGTTCAGATCCATATAGAGACAAGTTTGTCAGTGCTGCTAATACAAACCCTGTTTTTCAGTAGCTGACAAGTGGGCTGTAAAAATCTGCAGCTGGCAGATATTTGTCAAACAAAGGCTCAATCTGGGAGGGATTCTCCTTTTTATTAGTAGTTTATTAAATTTGGTTTAATTCTCTCTGATTGGTTTCAAGTTCTAGGAGTGAGAAATGAACATTTACAGACAATTAGGTCCCAAGCCAGCAGAAAAATTGCCTCCACGGCTGCTAGCCCACAGAAGCTCCACAGCTGCAGAGACTGTTCCCTATTCTAAAAAGAGGAGAGGAAGTGCCTCCCCAGCTCTAACAGCTGTGAACTCCAACATTAAATATTCCCTTGTCGCTGCCTTCCCGGGGGGCAGAGTGGCACAACTCCATCACTAGAGAGCTGGGGACTTGCTCTGCACGCCCCCCACTCTAACACCAGAAGGTTTTTCTTGCTGACTACGTATCAGCGTGGGAAGAATTTTAAAAGGGCGACTGGGGCCCAAAGAATAACCCCACCACTATCCAAAAGACTGGTGAGCTGGGGGAGGAAAGGAAGAATTATCTGCACTCCAGAGTCACATTTTTGTTTTATACCTAATAAAAGTGGAGATAGGCCTAGATCCACTTAGTCTCCCACCAGGGGCCACACAGGTGACTCCAGCCCAAGGGGTAGGAACATAGTCCCATGACTTGGCACTAGCAGCACACAATAGGAAACTGGCCTATATACACAAAAGTTCTCTCCCCCCCCCCCCCCGGGCAGCTCTGCTACGCCCCCAGGATGATTTTTTACTTCCCCGAGGAAATATCCCTGTACTAGAGCAGCTTTAAGAGCTTCAGCTGGAATGGGGCCTTAATACTTTGTGACCTAAGTCCCCTGCGTTTCCTTGGGGCGAGTGGAGGAAGGAAAACTTGAGAGGAATGTAGAGGAGATATGAAGGTTTAAGAGATGGAAACTGCATGTGCAGGGGCTACTTTTCAAAACCATTTTGCTTTTCAGTAGGAATCAAATGCTGCTATTCTAAATATGCACTCACAGCAAGTATGCACAGAGAGAACACAAGTTTGGAAAAATAAACAAAAGCATGTTACCTTTACATTCTTTTAGTTTATCATTTCAAATTTTCATCTGCTGACAATAGCCATTTGAAACTCCTAAAATACACACCAGTAAGCATTGTGCATTGGACAAGAGCATACATGCTATGGAGACCCAGCTAGGACTTGACATGATAAAGGATAATGGTGAGTCTCCTGGCCCCATTTTTTCTCAATTATGTCAGTCTCTCTAGAAACTTCAATCACTGTAAACACCAGAGCCATCATTAACCCTGGCCCCCATCATTTTCAAGTTCTATCCATTTTATATATTTACATTATTTTGGTTAAGCACAGTCAATGTTAATAGAAAAACATCTTTTTAATGGACAAATGCTGACAGACCCATGTAAAAAACCCAATTCTATGGCAGATTAATTCAGTGACTATCCGTACTCATGGCAGTACAGCTTCCACTGTAAGAGGATGAAAGGGAGAAGCTTGAGATCTTGGATTTCATACCACAAGCCATGCTGTTATCCAAATATTCGGAGCATTCAGAAGGATCAGATGATTTGTCACACTCAGGTTCAGGGGGATTACTGGAGATGTTGCTTAAGTCAGAGGTTGAAACAGTTAGTTCTCCACATCCTTCTGTGTCTTCAGCGTCCAGTGTGTTGCCATTTCCACCCTCTCTCTTACTTACATTTTCACATTCATTCTCTGAGATTTCCTCACGGTCTTTCAGGACCCAATTTTCAGCTGCATGCTCATTCTTGGAATTTGATGGCTCCACAGGGTCAAATGGGTCAGGGCTGGATAAGGGGGACTCTTCCTTGGATGAGCTGCTAAGTTCTGATTGGTCCATTGTACTCCGGCCCTCCGGTAGACTTTCTGTTCTGCTCCCTTCCAGTTCTGCAGCTGCCTGTTCTGTCAATTTAATTATTTTACTTCCAAGACTGTTTATTTCTTCCTCCTCAGAAGGAAACTTGGGTAATGAGGGATGAAAAGGCTTAGTTTGGTTACTGTTATTTATGTTTGCTTGGGAATTGTCGTAGACCGTAGCAGCTTCCTCTGGAACTGTCAACTCTGTTGAAACAGCATAAATTTCATCTGGTTTTCCATTCTGTTTTGCTAAGAGAGAAATGGGACAGCGTCATACTAGTGTACGTTATATAAATTTATATGCATGGAGCATTGACCAAGAAAGCCATGCAGAAGATGATCTAGCTAGCGAAATACCAGTGCCCCACCACCATGGTAAAAGATTGATCAGAGCACAAATTAAACTATCCCATTCTGGACTCACTTCAAAGAACAGAACCAATCAGAACTTACTGGATAGGGTCTAGTTATTTCAGAGATAGCCTCTCTTACATAACTCTGACAGCTGTGATAAAGAAGGACATTATAGCTGATGGAGCCTAGGACAAAACTTTCAAGGAAGATCTTTTTCTGCCTAAGGCCCAGGGTTGTAGAATTTCCGGCCACAAGAGATCAGTAATAGGCCAAGACAATGCCACTTTTAGGCGTTAAGATCCATTTCTCTTTCCATAAGCCTTTCTCCAATAATGAAGTTATATAATTAACCCTACAACATTTTACCTGAATAACATGCTTTGATAGCAGCCTAAGACAAGCAACAGAGGGTCCTGTGGCACCTTTGAGACTAACAGAAGTACTGGGAGCA